ACAACACCAATTGATTCTTTTGATTTTGTTAACAAAAAACAGTAAAAAAATAAATTATTAAATTAATAATTAGCATTAATTAATAAAATTGCTAATTGCAAGTACTTTATTAAAATTTACGTTGTATATATATATATAGGATTATCCTCAATCGAAAAAAACTCAAGGGCTTTGGGGGGTGTCCGGACCCTCAGGACACCTCCCTTGTGTGTGCCACTGATACTCTTTATTAATACCTAAAAACTATGCCTTGATCTTTTTTATGAAATCGATCTTTGAAGCCGGAAAAATCTCAAAATTGTTATTACAGGTTAAAAAATCACTATATAACGTAGATGAGAGTACAATAAATAACTAGTGTTCTTTTTTTCTTGGATTGTTTTCTCGAATTTTTTTGTCCCACACCTTTTGTTGCCATAGCTATCGTGATGTAAGGCGGTTCGTCACCCTACCTGATCGCTGACCTTGTTCTGGGTGACGTAGCGGCGATTCAGAACAGGTTTCGAAGGCGCGTCACTGCCCCTCGCATCCACGATCACATCTTCAACTTGAGGTCGATCCGACGGATCGGCCATCTCATCGTTCGACAAACGTACATTGGCACGTGGAATATTTAAAAGGGGACTATGTGTAAAACAAAAGCTTTGAGACTGGTGTTTGAAAGTGGACTTCTAGTTCTTTTCCCCCTATGTGTGATTTTTTCGACAACTACATTTGCTGTCAGACTGAGCAGACCGAGGATTTTGCTGCCTTTTAACATCGCCGGCCTGCCGAGCAATTACACGTTACATGTTTTAGACGACCAAAACAAAGATTGTTATGAATGGTAAATATACAAATTTTATATACTTTTTTATTTTATTTAAAAAATTAAAATGTAGATTATATAATTGTTATGTAAAAGTCAGTATTCTTTAGTATGAATTATATTACAACACTTTAAATATATATATCTGAATTTTTAAAATTTTGAATTCCGGTATTTGCGGTTTTGGATGGAAAAATCAAAAGCATGTGTGGATCTATCATAACCACAGAAACGTTTTCCTGGTTCCACATTCATTATTCACAAATAGTGCAGTGATAATTAAAATGTAATACAATTGATCAAAAAACTTAAATTCAGGAAATGTCTTAAAAATGGTCTATGATAATAAGGAACGTGTCCTATAATAATTCAATTGAGTTGAGTCTTGTTATATAGCGCTACCTCAGAGGCTATTGGCAACACATCTAAGAATAACGAACTATGAGTAAATAGGAGACATTTGAACTGTTACTTGACTCTTCAGACTTTCCAAATCATACTACTCCACTTGACATAATTTTGGAATGAATTCGAACCTTTTCCAGAGAATGTTTATTAATGTCGCGCAAAAAAGCAACACGAGAGCTATTGTTGACGAATCTCGTAATTTTGAATCTTGGTCAAGTGATGAAGACAGCATCCGAGCTGTCCCCCTCTTCGAACTTCCACACCACGCCATTAGGAGAACTTTGGAACTCGAAAGATTTAACGTGCATCAGCTCCTATGCACAGCGAGTTTTCATTGGCATTTGGTTCGAACTCATAACATGTTAAAGGTCCGTTACCACAATCACTTGGCTACCGCGGCTTTCTTTATAATCAGGGGAGGTCAAGGGTTCACACAGAGTTCTACGAACATCGTATAATGGAATAACAGACTGCTGCGTGTTTAATCCTTACAGAATCATTAGGCTGCTAAGAATAAATTTGGTATATAACTGCTTATTTTAGTTTGTTTAGATCAGGGTATCGAACAGTAGTTTTTTTTCAGGTTCAACAAAAAAAAAATATCGAGTCGGTTCCAGTTTTTGTTTTACCAAATAACGGTTTACGGTTCTGTTCCGAATGAATAATTTTATTTTATGTATATTTTTATTTGTACTAAAAATATAATTCTATCATAAACAAAAAATTTTATCTATCAAAATTTAGAATTATTATTTTTTCTTAAAAAAAATCATCTTGTGTTACATCAGTACGAGTGAACATCAAAAAGGGAAATTGAGAAGCAATGTACATCTAAAAAGGATAATTATATGTTGATGCTAAATTGGAAAATATTGATAAGTTAGTTACTTTAACAAAATGACTGAGGGTATATCGGGCCAAAATAAACCGATATTTATTTTGGTTCAGTTCCGATTCAAAACCCTGAATTTTACATGTAAAATACATAAAAATCATAAGAAAAATACATAACAATGTGAAGTTTTTGAAATTTTACGGGGATAGAACAAAATTATTTCTATAGTTATTTATCATTATTATAAGTATTTGTTTTAATTTTTTTCAAATATGGCGATATTGCTCAAAATTGTACTAACCGAATAACAAAACATGTGAGGTACTATATTACACTTATGACTATAAATTAAGGATAATGCAAGTTCAGTCAAAGAAAGAGTCGGAAGCAAAACAAATGTGACTTATTTGTAAAGCCTTTTTTTAAACAAAAGGTAAAGAGCGAAAAAGATGCTATATGTTTTGATATCATTAATAAAAATTGCGATTTTTGCTCTCTGGAGCAAATTACCAAAAAAAAAAAAAACTTATTTTAAGAAAACCAATTTTACATGCTTGGTATGATGACTAATTCATAGGGGGGGGGGGTATGTCTCCCAGACGATGCAATACATTCCGTACAATGCCTAGGCATGTTGAGTATCAAATTACCGATCTGATCTTGGGGGAATACTACACCAATATCAAGCAATGCTCTTCGAAGATCTGGTAGACATGTAGGAGGTGGTTGACGGGCTGCAACTTGTCGGCGAAGCATATCCCACACATGCTCTATTGGATTCAAGTCCGATGAGAATGCTGGCCAGTCCATATGGATGATGAAGGCATTCTTTTATGATGTTTGCATGGTGAGGACGGGCGTTTTCGTCCATAAACACATGCCCACTCTGGAACATGTATGCTTATTTCTGTGCTCATGGGGCCCAGAAATAAGCATACATGTTCCAGAGTGACGTCCCTATAAATTTAGCCTGTCTTGGTTCTGATCTGAAAATGCAGGTCAGTTTTGGAACCCAGAATATTTCGATATTTCGCAATCTATTCATATCTGCAATAGACTGATGTAATTTCCCGCCATCCCCTGCTCTTTTTCAGGGGTTTCCTTAAAAAAAAAATTATTATATGATACAGTAATGTATTTTCTTATTCATGCATATTTTTCGTATCGTTTCCTGTCTATCGCAGTGGATTCTTTTGTACCTCTAAACCCTCAGGTGGAGTGCGAGTTGGATCCTCCCAAATAAATAAATAGCCAGGGATTCTCCAACCGTTTTGTAGCGTAGCATTCAGTGGCGGATTTAGCGGGTGTCGGACCTGGCGGCCGACAAGCTTGATGAGTGCAAAGGCCAGCGATAATCCAACCACGCCAACTTGAAACAAGAAATGAAAAGAAAAAAAAAGATGCAATGAAACCCCAGCTAGAAATTTATCGAGACACAAGAAAAATCCTAGAGTAGGAAAATTTTGGAAAATATTTTTAACAATACTGATATCGAATGTATCAGGTGAATGATCTTTTTTAGTTTTAAAAAGTGTTAAAAATAATTTAAGATATACTATGGGTGAAAAGACAAATTGAACAACATGGCCATATTATATACATAATAAAATGCTTTGGACAAAATAGATATGGTAAAAATAATTGATGAATTTGCCAAATAGAGAAATCAAACTGTATAGCAAAACTGTAAGCCTTTAAGTAAGGTTTTAAATTTTTTTATGCACAGTTAAGATTTTTTTTAGCCGATGAGTTTTATTATAGCAATACATTTTATTTTGAGAATTTAAAGTAAGTGACTCTTTTCACTATTTTAGTTTTTCAACTCCTAAGCCCATGGGCCTCAAACCTTTTACCGCCAGGGGCCTCCAACTACCTTAATCCGCCTCTGCATGCTCACTGTTGCGGTGTCCACAATGTATGCTCTCTACTCCCTGATAACCGCAGGTGACAGTGAGCTGCAGTAAGTGGAACATATCTGACAGGTCTACGAGCATATAGTGTCTATATTGGTCTATATTATAGACCAATCTGCCAAAAGTGTCTGTACACGGTTGTCTTGAAACTGTCATGCCAGTGGTTGAAGAGAGCTGACGAGATAGGTCTGATGCTGTGCTCTGTTTCTTTTGGCAGTAACTGCCAAATACCGGTCCTCATTCGTCGTTGTAACTCGGAGGTGACCTGTGCTATAACGTCTACTCACATTACCATCATCTTGGAGTCGTTGCCAAAGTCTGGAGATGACACTCTTGGCGATTTCAAGTTCCTCGGATACTTCAGCTGGGTACGCCCACATTCCAGACGGGCGATAGTTCTACCTCGTAAAAAGTCACCCAAATGCGCCCTTTCTGTCATAAGTATGCGGTTATTGCACTGAAAGGCTTATAAAGCGCTTACGAACAATTTTACATCTTTGCCGGTATTCCTTATATATTCTCCTCTTACACTCTCCTCATTATGACGTATTATCGGTGTCATCTGGTGGCATCCTCAATTTGCATATGATTCTTGAAGATGTGTGTAGTTAGTTTAAGGATGATATATTTTAAAGTTCGATTTCCGCGCGACTCTGAATTAGCCTTAATTTATGGACATGAATGTTATTACATGTTACAATAAACTGGAAAAAAATAACAGATACAACTCTCGAATGTTTTATCATTGGTGCCAATTGGTTTGACAGTTCTTTTTTCTATTCCTAGTAAAACTTCACAATCTCCATATATATATATATATATATATATATATTCAAATTTTCAATAGATAATAAAATATTTTCTATTCATCCATTCAAGTTCAAATACGTTTTTTAAACTTGTAGTGGATGGCACTTGATGTTAATATAGTTTTTCGAATTTTAATTCATTAGTTAAACTTAATTAATGAGTAAATAGTAACAAATCAAAATAATAGTCCAACACCATATATAGAAAGAAAAATCGCTCGTTGTGTCCCTGTAGCGCAATGAATAACGCGTTGGACTTCTAATCCAAAGGCTGTGGGTTCGAATACTAACTAGGAGGACCTAAAATCTGAAAATGATTTCTTCTTTCTAAACTATTTTGTTGGAATAATTAAATTTAATTAATGAATAAATAGTAAACAATAATAATAGTGCAATACCATATATAGAAAGGAAAATGGAAAATCACGCTTTCTGTTTTGCCACTTACTATTGTGATTCTGACATATCTATATACATATTTATATTAATTGTAATTATTTAATAAGAAGCAACTAAAATAAAAATTTTCTTTGTTAACCTAAGTAGAAATTGACTTAAATTTTTTATATATGTATATTTTTTTTCTATAAATGTTCCCGTTTACGCAATTGCGTTCGACAGGAGTTCTATTTTGACATTCTGTGTAAAAATTTCAGATAAGATTGCAATTAAATAAGACAATCACCAATTTTAAAATAGGGGAAAGTGTTTACCTTAATCGTGAAAGGGTTCATTCAATAGGTCTTAAGATCCTTATACATTTGTGGAATTGGAATTTGAAGAATGTGGTGACACATTTCAAGTGTCATTTTTTCCATTTGATCCATGGTTCAAAGCTAGATCAATAGCAAGCTGTATTGTTCTCATATGAGTTTGAAGTCAAACAGAAAAATAACTAATTGTATTGTTTTGATGATTTTTTTAAACATACAAACTGAAATATACCCTGAAAAATGACCCCCCCCCCAGAAATTTTATATAAATTGTTCTTATTTATAAAACATTAAAAAAAGGAATCTATTGTAATTTGTTGTTGTATAATTAGAAAAGTTGCATTATATTGCTACAATGGAATTGATTCATAAATGCATCAGCTAAAAACAATGTAAGCGTTAAAATTTTTGAAATAGTTTTAACTCGATATAAATTATGTATTATTATACACAAAAGGAAATATATCCGATCGACACTCTATATATTACTAAAAGAAAAGATATTATGAATTTTATTTAAATAAGTTTAGTAGCTTGTATATTTCCTATGCATATATATTTCCTACGCAGAAGATATTCTCTCTTTCAATAGATAGAGGCTCTATAAAACTGATATTTGAAATATTTGCCTTCGATGAAATGACTTTTTTGTGTGCTTATTTAATTAATTTTTAAAGCCTTCTTAATTCCGCGAAATAAATAAAGTGAAAAACCTTATGAGTAGCATGAGAATTTCCTAATAATCATGAATGTAGCAAACGGTTTAGATTGTCTAATAACAAATTTTTAAATCAAAAGTCTATATTATCAATGATTAAGTATTCGTCTTATTCCTAACCCTCCACCCTTATAGGGTGGCCGCGGTAGTGGTCATGGTCACAGATTCGAGTGCTAGTCCCACTGAAGACCTGTCGTGTAGAGGGATAATGCACTTTTAATCTGTTAGGGCTCAAAATCATCCCGTTGAAGTGATGTGGTAGTTAAAAGAGGGATTGTCAGCTCAGGTTAAGTCTTCGTCACTTTACCATGGTTCAAAATTCCTGTGTTGCTTCATAGTGCTGCGTTAATTTACACTCACTCACTCGCCGTCCTTAAGGGTTTTATAAGATATTAAACTATCGTGTGTTATTTTTCATGCCATTTCTGAAAATGAAAACGGTATTGGCAGATTAATATTGCTTATTAACGTAGCATTTCAAAACGTAAGGAGGACGGGTATAGTGTATTGCTTCTTCAAACAATACATATATGAAATTATTGTGCCACGAATACAAGACCTTTAAAGTTACCAAACCATGCAATTCACAATTAAGCAGCATTCAGGCATTAGAAAAGTTTTCTGACTTTTAAGTAATCGCGAGTTTTTTTAGATGGGTCACAGGTTCTAGTACTGATTTTAATTAAGGCAGTCAATCATAGAATGTTATTAACAAAACGTCAAATTAAAAAATGCAATTTAGACGGCTTGGGTGCATTTCCCACTAAAAATAACGCCGAATACAAGCCATTTTTAACACACTTTTAAAAGCTTTACTGATATGTAACGGAATCTTTGAACTCAATTTTTACCCACTTTAAAAGGTCAGATTAATTCGAAATTTTGCTCACTTGCCCAGAACTGATGACAATACAATAATTTAATAATTTTGTTCCATTGTCCTGATCCAGATCATCACGATTAATGATTTCAGATCCCATCCCTCATATGGCGACTAATTTCAGATCCCATTTCTAGATTTGGTGACTAAAAGATTAAGTTACAACTTAGTTCGATTAACTATAAAAGAGTGTTTTTTTTAAAGTTTTTTAAGCTATAATTTAAATTATAGAGGCATCTCTATTTTCTTTATCATAATTAATAAATTTCTCAAATCCCAAGGCATACAAATTTTAGTGTTTCATTCAAAGAATGGTAGAAAAAGTGATTTCAAGGCTGGAGAAACACTGATTTGTAACTCAATTCCACCAAACATACTTAGATGGGAGATCCTCCTTAAATTCAGGATTAGGTTTCTAAGACCCCTTGTAATGAGGAAATTAGACGTTGGTGTCTTGTATAAGTTTGAAGAGTGGATTGCCTACTCGGGTATCTTTCTCGAAAAATACTAAGATTGATTCTCAGTTGTCTGCTAAAAAGGACGTAACAAGATACAAAAGAAACATTAATTTTTTTTACTTTCCCTACTTTTTGTTTGTACCTTCCATGATGTAAACCATAGGGGGGTTCCCAACCTTTTATGAACTGGCGCCCCCTTCTCTAGTAAATATTTTGATACCACCCCCTTTTCTGGTGAATATTTCGAGACCACCCCCACTCTAGAGAAATAAGAGTGTACATATTACGTGATGAAAACAAGAGTTAAGTTTTAAAAAAATATCCTATTACCAACAGAATATATTTTTTAATTTAATTTTTTTCTAAAGCCCCAATTTTTTTGCTTGCGAATCTGAAACAGCTATTACCACATATATATTTAATTGTGAAATATTGTATATTTTAGTCATAGGATATTGTTAGAATTGAAACACGCTACTGAATTTCTTCTTCATTTAAAAGAGTGGAATAAAAATTTTAGCTTATCTGTTATAAAGACAGGCAGGGGTCTTGATGATACAAAGTAATTTATAATAAACTATTTCTTTCAAAATAAATATAAAAATTGACAGTTTCAACCTTTAAAGAGACACTTTAATTCCTGGTTAACAAATTTAATTATGTTTCTTGGATAATATACGTAATGAAATGCAGTGTGTGAAACATTTTTCCTACTGCTCACAGACATAGACAACACCTGCACTATAGAAATTATATAAAATGCACTATATCATTCAATTTAATGTAGGCCTGAATGTAATGTAATCTTTAAGTTTTTTATCCACTTCCCGAACTACCGAAATATGTGAATTTTCGTACTTGTGACATAGAAATGATTTATAAATGCATACAATCAACATAAGTAAACAGTTTTAAAGTTTACTTTTGTTACAGTACATTATCAGCGCGATTCTTTTTGGTTTTTGGTTATTCTGCCCAAGCCCTTCCGTGCCATCTCAGAGTCCCCTAATTTTCTCCTGATCTTTTACTGCCCCCCCCCCTGAAAGCCTCAAACGCCCCCAAGGGGGCATTATCGCCCACGTTGAAAACCTATGATGTAAGCTAATCCAAAGATGACATGCCATAACTGAGACAAAATACGTTAACCCTTATATGTATTATAATGGAGCCACACATTTCTTTTACTTTTTCATCGAAAAGTGTATAGTTTTTCCTAGAAATATACAGGTTGGAGTATAATTTCTATGACCACTCCTATCTGAGATATAAATAACGTACAACAAATATAACGCAGCAGATGGTGGTAGCTAATGTTATTTGTATGAACGCTGGAAATGTTGGTTATGTGTGTGTGTGTGTCTCGAAGTATAATCCTTGATTCTGCTGCTATTAATATCATGAATCAATTATATTCGCTTCCCCCTTACTCAAATTACTCCTACTGCTCTCAATTTCGATAAAAATGTAAGCGTATATAAAATTACAGGTATCCAATAACATTATTAATAAAATGATCAAAAACTTCCCACTTAAAATTATCATTGTTATAATTCAAATATTTTTCATCTGCTTGTAAAATAGCAATTACATTTCCAGTCCTAAAACCTGGCAAAAAACAAATAAACCAGACAGCTATCATCATATCTCTTATTCAGACAGTCACTAAATTGACATAATTTATCATCATAAACAGAATAAAAATTCATATTTATGATAATAGATTCATCAACCTGAATGAGAGAGTATAGTTTTATTAATAAAGTTTTAACTTCTTCCAACCTCAGCTTAAACTGAAATTATCACTCAAGGCTTTCTGAAGGATAAAGTAACGGGAACCTCTTTTTACTAGATATCCAAAAGGCATTGAACAGACATGGATTGATGGTCTTCCGTACAAATTAATTACCACACAATAACTATCCTAATTCCCTTATTCCCTCAATCCATATTCTGAATTCGTTGTACTCCACAATAGATAATTTCATTTTCTTTACCAACAAAGCTATCTCCTCTCATTCCAAATTCAAAGTAAGCGTACCTTAAAGTTCCCTTCTTGGAGACTCATTCTTTTTAATATTTACTTGAATGACACCACTCACATCTATCAGTATGTATGAGGACGACACAATAGTGTTAGCAAAATTCAAAAACACACACTATCCTTTTATCCTTAACAAATACCTCAAATTAATTGAAGAGCACCTAAATCAACGGAAAGTAGAAGCAAATATTGAAAAATAGCTGTGGTTTCTTCACACACATAAAATTCTGTCCCATACCCCGCATTCAATAGCACACAATTTCAATGATCTCCTCACATCAAATATCTAAGCATTATCTTAACACTTTCAACTCGTGTCAGAAAATTCAGGAATAACAAACATAAACACTCCCTCTTCGCCAGAATTCCACAATGAACCTAATAAGATTCTTCTCTATAAATTCATTCATTGTCCACTCCTTTCAGGACAGAAGCCGCTCGATGATCTTATCATTGTCGTTATCATGGAACCATATCCTTTGTTGCTAT